GATAAGTCCCACTCCAAATAGGTGAAAAAATATTAAATACGATATATAAAAATATAAAAAAAATCTCTGAAAGTCCTCTTTCCAAAGAAATGAGACGTGCTTCCACCAAAGATAGTGTTCAAAAAATTCATACCACACTCACCAGATACTGGTGAAAAAAATGCCTTTAGGGTTTTTTTGGGGGATCCTAGACCCAGTCAACCAAAGCTCCCAATTTCCTAAGTAACGACGGGGAGATTTCTGGGAGCAGGCAGGGCGCGCGCTCTCGGCACATGTTTCTTTTCATCGAGTAAGCAAATATGCGGCATCAAGACCCAGGTGCCGAGAGGCCGCATATTTGCACCTAGGTGTTCAGGAACGATTCAAGTGTATTCAAATACATTCCAATATGTATATATCAGATAGTCTGCAAAAACACTCGGCTTACCATAATATGTTAAGTAAAAAAAGTATCTAAAACATAAAAACAGGGCAAAAAAAATAAAGATATACAATTATATATCACTCCAAAGTATAATTTTATATATATATGTGTGTGTGAAATTATAAGTCCCACTCCAAATAGGTGAAAAAATATTAAATACGATATACAAAAATATAAAAAAAATCTCTGAAAGTCCTCTTTCCAAAGAAATGAGACGTGCTTCCACCAAAGATAGTGTTCAAAAAATACATACCACACTCACCAGATACTGGTGAAAAAAAACGCCTTTAGGGTTTTTTTTTTTTTGGGGATCCTAGACCCAGTCAGTAAGCCTCCAGATCTCCACTCCAAACCAAAGCTCCCAATTTGCCAAGTGGGGGGAGATTTCTGGGAGCAGGCAGGGCGCGCGCTCTCGGCGCATGTTTCTTTTCATCGAGTAAGCAGGCCCAGGTGCCGAGAGGTACTGAGAGGCCGCATATTTGCTCCAAGGAGTTCAGGAATGATTCAAGTTTTTTCAAATACATTCCAATATGTATATATCAGATAGTCTGCAAAAACACTCGGCTTACCAAAATATGTTAAGTAAAATAAAAGCAAAAAGCAAAACAAAAAAAAAAAAAAGAACAGCTCTTTGGTTTCTCTCCAAATACTTGTATGAAGCACAAACATCGCCGTACAAATTACAGATGAAGGTAATATTGTAATTCAACTGGAATGTGAGCCAACAGGATCAATCTCTAGACTAAAGGAAGGCAAGGCACCCATTGTGGCTCAATTTGAATATGAAATTTTAGGTCTGATGCAGTCCATCCAAAACTCAAATTTAAAAACAATGACAAGTTGAGCTTTAAAGGCAGAGTTGTAGGTACATCATTGGTGGTCACCAAGCCTAGATCACTGTTTCTTAACCAGGGTTCTACGACTCTCTGGGGTGCCACAAGCACAGGACTCAGTTTGCCCTTGACTAGTGTCCTTGACATTACATTACATTACATTGAGTTTATATAGCGCCAAAGGGTTTGCTCAGCGCTGTACAATAGAGGGGGGGACAATACATGAAACATTACAGCAACTACAAACAGCACACGAGGGGTTATAGGGCCCTACTCTTTCGAGCTTACAATCTAGGAGGGAGGGGGTAGTGGTACAGGAGGAAGTGGCTGTGGGGGATGGAGTGGTAGGAGGAATGAAGGAGAGCAGCAGTTAGGTGAGGGTGGGGTAGGCTTCCCTGAAGAGATGGGTTTTCAGGGAGCGCCTGAAGGTGAGGAGGGAAGGTGACAGTCTGATGGATTGGGGTAGTGAGTTCCAGAGGATGGGGGAGGACCTGGAGAAGTCTTGCAGACGTGCGTGTGAGGAGGAGACCAGGGAGCAAGATAGAAGGAGGTCCTGTGAAGAGCGAAGGGTACGGGTAGGGTGGTACTTGGGAATCAGGTTGGTGAGGTAGTTAGGGGCAGTGTTGTGAATGGCTTTGTAGGTCAGAGTGAGTAGTTTGAATTTGATGCGTTGGGCGATAGGGAGCCAGTGGAGGGAGAGGCAGAGGGGGGTGGCAGAGGTGGAGCAGGTGGTGAGGTGGATGAGTCTAGCCGCTGAGTTGAGGATGGTCTGAAGCGGGAGAGCCTGCACTGGGGTAGGCCGGTGAGGAGGGAGTTGCAGTAGTCAAGGCGTGAGATCATCAGGGAGTGCACAAGTAGTTTAGTGGTGTCTGGGGTAAGGAAGGAGCGTATTTTTGGCGATATTGCGGAGGTGGAGTCTGCATGTGTTTGTGAGTGATTTGACCATGAGTTGCATGGTGCTGGTGGGCTGGTTGCCAACACCATAACAACCAATGGCTCTATAGTGTATGGACTGTGTCATTTGGGGACTGTCCGACTGGGGGGCTGTGTAAAGGGGGGACTATGTGATTGCAGGACTATGTGATTAGGGAGAGAGATCTGTGATGATGGGGCAGTGGTGACGGGGGGAGGGACACATGTCCCCTTGATGGCCCTCTGACATTAAGAGGTGATTGGGGGGATCTCTGATATGTTGGGGGACATATGGTTTGATGACATCCTTTGATATGAAGTGGTGACTTTAATGTGAAGGGGGGATTGGGATGTGATGGGGACTTACTGTATATATAAGGTCCCTTGACTAGTGTCCTTGACCATGAGTTGCGTGGTGCTGGTGGGCTGGTTGCCAACACCATAACAACCAATGGATCTGTAATGTGTGGACTCTGTGTTGAGGAGGACTGTCCGACTGGGGGGCTGTGTAAAGGGGGACTGTGTGATTGCAGGACTATGTGATTAGGAAGAGAACTCTGTGATGATGGGGACAGTGGTGACGGGGGGGGGGGGGACATGTATAGGGGCCTCTGATATTAAGAGGTGATTCGGGGGGATCTCTGATATGTTGGGGGACATCTGGTTTGATGGCATCCTCTGATATGAAGTGGGGACTTTAATGTGAAGGGGGGATTGGGATGTGATATAGGGGCCTTTGATGTGTACGGTAGACTATGATGTGATGGAAGCCTCTGAAGCGAAATGGTGATTCTGATGTGATGGGGGGGTTTTTGACATGATCTTGAACCTCTGATGTGATGGGGGTCTCTGATGTGAAGTGGGGACTTTAATGTGAAGGGGGGCTATGAATTGAAGCCCCCTTCAATTCAGAGCCCCCCTTCACATTAGATTTGATGTGATGGGTGACCTCTGATGTCATGGAGGACCTATGATGTGAAGCAGAGACTTTAATGTGAAGGGGGGATTCTGATGTGATTGGGGACTCAGGTATAGAGGCCTGTGATGTGTATGGTAGACTCTGATGCAATAGGAGCTTCTGAAGTGAAAGGGTGATTCTGATGTGATAGGGTGGCTTCTGACATGATGGTGGATCTTTGATGTAATGGGGAGTGTGGCCTCTGATGTGATGGGAAACCTCTGGAGTGCTGGGGGTCCTCTGAAGCGAAGTGGGGACTCTAATGTGAAGAGAGGATTCTAATGTGATGGGGGGACTCATGTATAGGGTCCTTTGACGTGTATGGTAGATTATTATGCAGTGGGAGCTTCTGTAGTGAATGGGTGATTCTGATGTGATGGGGTGGATTCTGACATGATGGTGGATCTTTGGGGTGATGGTGACAGGGGCCTCTGATGTGATGGGAGACATCTGGAGTGTTGGGGGCCCTCTGAAGTGGGGACTCTAATGTGAAGGGAGGATTCTAATGTGATGGGGGACTCATGTATAGGATGTGTAGGGTAGACTCTTGTGCATTGGGGATTTCTGAAGTGAGGAGGTGATTCTGATGTGATGGGGCACTTCTGACATGATGGTGGACCTTTGATGTGATCAAGGGCCTCTGATGTGATGGAGGACCTCTGAAGTGATGGGGGATCCTCTGATGTGAAGTGGGGACTCTAATATGAAGGGAAGATTCTAATGTGATGGGGGACTCATGTATAGGGTCCTTTGAGGTGTAGGGTAGACTCTGATGCAATGGGCGCCTGTAAAGTGAAGAGGTGATTGTGATGAGGGTGGGAGGACTTCTGACATGATGGTGGACATTTAATGTGATGGAGGGCCTCTGATGTGATGGGAGACCTCTGAAGTGTTGGGGGCAGGGCTGTGGGTAAGGGGGGGTACCACCAGTCCTATTTTATGGGGCCCAGGCCATCAGGGGGGCCCAGGCAGCTGGGTGAATCTGATGTGGGCAGGGAGGGTGATTGGCACATAGTGGGGCAATCACTGGAACCGATCCCCTGTATGGCTCTCTCTACAGCAGCTGAAAGCTGGATTCTTCTCCTCTCCCTACCGCTGCCTTTCAGCTGCTGAAGAGAGAGGGGATGGGTTCCAGTAAATAACCCCTTCCCCCACCACACCCATCACCCTCACTATGAACCATACATTTCCCCTTGCTGCCCAGGCCCCCCTGTGTGCCCCCCCACCACCACATCAGCTTGCCTCCGCTTCCTTCCCACCAGCAGCTGCAAGCACACAATAGGATCCTTCAGGGTGGAGAGCGGGGGGAAGGGTCAGGTAGATATGTCACATTTACCAGCCCCTTTCTTCCTGAATGAACACAATGAGTGTTCGGTGCAGGGGCGGACTGATCATTTGGAAACTCGGGCACTGCCCGAGGGCCCGGGGTCAGTAGGGGGCCCCATGAGATGCCTCTGGTACCTTTTTCATAGGCTTTTTTTGAGTTTGGGCAAGGACACAGGGGCCCCATGATCCCCTATTGCCCAGGGGCCCCATGAGTTGTAAATCCGTCCCTGGTTCGGTACCGATCACTCATTGTGTTCATTCATAAACTGAAGCCTAGTAAACTGTGGGGGGGGGGCTGTCAAGTTGGCTGTATGGGGCTGTCCGTGGCTTCTAATAGCAGCCCTGGTTGGGGGGTCCTCTAAAGTGAAATGGGGACTCTAATGTAAAGGGGGGGGGTGGCTCTGATTTAAAGGGGGGACTTTGATGTGATGAGGGGACCTTTAATGCGAAGTGGGGACTCTAATGTAATGGGGGGGGACTTTGATTATTATTATTATTATTATTATTATTATACAGGATTTATGGCACCAACAGTTTGTTCAGCACTTTACAATATAACGGGAGACAATACAGCAACCACAATACAGTTCAATACAAGAGGGATAGGAGGGCCCTGATCCTGGGAGACTTACAATCTAAGAGGGAGGGGCTGGTGGTACAAACAGTAGTAACTGTGGGGGATGGACTGGTTGGAAGAGTAGAAGATTCCATTATTACCTGAGGGCAGGATAGGCTTCCCTGAAGAGAGAGGTTTTCAGAGATCGCCTAAAAGTGAGCAGCAGGGGCGTACCCCTGACTGACAACTCATGGGCCCCCGGGCAATAGGGATCATGGGGCCCCTGTGTCCTTGCCCAAACTCAAAAAAGCCTATGAAAAAGGTACCAGGGGCATCTCATGGGGCCCCCTACTGACCCCGCGCCCTCGGGCAGTGCCCGAGTTTTCCAAATGATCAGTCTGCCCCTGGTGAGCAGAGTAGGCAATAGTCTGATAGATTGGGGAGGAGAATTCCAGAGGATGGGGAAGCTCTGGAGAAGTCCTGGAGACGAGCATGGGAGGAGGAGACAAGGGAGTCATGAGGAGGACCTCCGATGTGACAGGGAACCTCTGCTGTGTAGGGGGGCTTCTGAAATTCATTTTATCAAGGCAGTTGTGTGCATTGTCTCAGGTTTCCTACTGGTACTGGGGTGTTGAGATGTTGAATCCATTTAACCTCCCTAGCGGTCCTGATTATGTCAGTATTTCTGTGCTCAAAGCGGGTGGTACATTTTTTTTGCATGGGAAATATGTATTTTTTTTATTGTAGGCCTGTAATTTTTAGGAATACTCACTGAAATCTGTCCGAACAAGAGTCTAGTAAAACATCCCGGGGAGGATAAAACTTGAAACACGAAATCATAAATTATAATGTTTTAAATAATCATAAAAATAATAATATAATAATAAATGTAATTCAATAATATAATCAAACCAAAAACACTGAAATGTGAAAATATAGCGCCAAGTTCGCACATCGCTGAGCAAAGTCGCAGAATCGTTTTCAGTGTCTGATGAGGAATTTCCCCCACCAATCATTATCACTCAATTCTGCAAGTGGTTCTGATTTACTATCGCTGTTCTCTAGCCGGTCTAAAACCGCGTCTGACCTAAAGGGACGCTTTTTTGGACGCCATGGACGTTTCTCAGTTTCCAGGCAGAAAGGGCGGTAAAAAATGCAGGCAGGGCGCCGGACAAAGCACTCGGGACAAAATGTATGTGAAATGGTTGGATACAGGAATGTTATACTATGTCAAATTAATTTCTAAGAAAATGACAGTTTCTAAAAATGTTTTAAATTTGCCGCCGTTCCGGCCCCCGTACGTCCCGACGCTCGCAGGGACCGGAACACGGAAGCCAGATGCCGGCATCGGCCGGGGACGCTGCAGGGGACACATCGCGGGAGTGAAGGACAAGGTAAGCGCTGCAGGGACTCCCTGAGCAACGCCGCATGGTAAGCCCGAGTGTAGCTCGGGGGGGGGGTTACCGCTTTTGGTACTGAAACTTTACCCCGAGCTACACTCGGGAATACCGCCAGGGGGGTTAAAGGGCGCCGTGAGTGAACAAAGGCTGAGAAGCGACGGCCTAGGTGGTCCCATGAGATCCTACAACTGGAGGTCCTGCAATGAGTCCATGTTTCTTCCATCATCAGCTCACCTCATCAATATGGCCAGCAGTGAATGCATCCGTGTGATCTGAGCCATGTATTGGTATTCCACAACCTAAGGAATTCATTAGCCGTCTTTGTATGTGTCATCTTCTTCTCAGGAAGATAAATCCATCCGGAGTGAAGAGAGAAAGGTTACAAGTATCAAGTCTTTAGAAATAACTGATCAAATGTCAGAAGTCGGCCCAGAACAGAGGAGCTGACATTTAATACCCGTTTTGTCTTGTCGAGTTTGTCGACGGTCTTTGCGGGAATGTGATGAACATGGAAATGGCACAAGAAACTGCACGGGAACGCATGCTGATTGCGGATTAATGCACACTGGGAGGAATGACTGATGTTCAAATGACTCAGCTGTACCGCGAACCCAACATTGCTGGTGTATGTAAATGATCATATCGTGGGGAGGTTGAAAGATTTCAACATCCACATCTATCCATCTATCTATCTATCTATCTATCTATTATCTATCTATTATCTATCTATCTATCTATCTATCTATCTATCTATCTATCTATTATCTATCTATCTATCTATCTATCTATTATCTATCTATCTATCTATCTATTATCTATCTATCTATCTATCTATCTATCTATCTATCTATCTATCTATTATCTATCTATCTATCTATTATCTATCTATCTATCTATCTATCTATCTATCTATCTATCTATCTATCTATCTATCTATCTATCTATCTATCTATCTATCTATCTATCTATCTATCTATCTATTATCTATCTATCTATCTATCTATCTATCTATCTATCTATCTATCTATCTATCTATCTATCTATCTATCTATCTATCTATCTATCTATCTATCTATCTATCTATCTATCTATCTATCTATCTATCTATCTATCTATCTATCTATCTATCTATCTATTATCTATCTATCTATCTATCTATCTATCTATCTATCTATCTATCTATCTATCTATCTATCTATCTATCTATCTATCTATCTATCTATCTATCTATCTATCTATCTATCTATCTATCTATCTATCTATCTATCTATCTATCTATCTATCTATCTATCTATCTATCTATCTATCTATCTATCTATCTATCTATCTATCTATCTATCTATCTATCTATCTATCTATCTATCTATCTATCTATCTATCTATCTATATCTATCTATCTATTATCTATCTATCTATCTATTATCTATTATCTATCTATCTATCTATCTATCTATCTATCTATCTATCTATCTATCTATCTATCCATCTATTATCTATCTATCTATCTATCTATCTATCTATCTATCTCTATCTATCTATCTATCTATCTATCTATCTATCTATCTATCTATCTATCTATCTATCTATCTATCTATCTATCTATCTATCTATTATCTATCTATCTATCTATCTATCTATTATCTATCTATCTATCTATCTATCTATCCATTCAGTCGTATCCAACCCTTGGCGATTGTATGGACCGTCACTCGTAAGCGACTTTTTCCATGAATTCTTTTAGCAATTATTTTACAGGGCAGGTTGCCAGGTCTTTCCCCAACCCCCACCATGCAGGAGATCCCACATGGCCAGGGATGAAACTAGGACAATTTAGACAGGAGCCCAACATCCATATACAATCAATGTTTTCCTGAAAAGTCTGACAATCACCATTAACCTCCTTAGCGGTATTCCTGAGTGTAGCTCGGGGTAAAATTTCTATACCAAGAGTGGTAACCCCGAGCTACAATCGGGCTTACCATGCGGCGTTGCTCAGGGGGTCCCTGCAGCACTTACCTTGTCCTTCGCTCCCGCGATGTGTCCCCTGCAGCGTCCCCGGCCATCTCCTCCGGCCGATGCCGGCATCCGGCTTCCGTGTTCCGGTCCCTGACGCCGTTTCCGCCGCTTCCCTGTTTCCGGGCGCCGGAACCGGCGGGAAATTTGAAATTTTTAAAAAATGTCATTTTTGCTGTCATTGCTGTTTCAATGCATTTCACATACATTTTGTCCCGAGTGCTTTGTCCGGCGCCCTGCCTGCATTTTGAATGTTCTTTCTGCCTGAAAACTTAGAAAAGTCCATGGCGTCCAAAAAGCGTCCCTTTAGGTCAAAAGCGGTTTTAGACCGGCTAGAGAACAGCGATAGTAAATCAGAACCAATTGCAGAATTGAGTGATAATGATTCGTGGGGGAAATTTGTCATCAGACACTGAAAACGATTCTGCGACTTTGCTCAGCGATGTGCGAATTTGCCTCTGTATTTCATATTTCAGTGTTTTTTTGATTTGATTATATTATTGAATTAAATTTATTATTATTATATTATTATTTTTTATGATTATTTATTAAATTATAATTTATGATTTTGTGTTTCAAATTTTATCATCCCCGGGATGTTTACTAGACTCTTGTTCGGACAGATTTCAGTGAGGTATTCCTAAAAATTACAGGCCTACAATAAAAAAACTACATAAATCCATGCAAAAAAATGTACCGCTTTCAGCACAAAAAATCAGAAAGAATCAGACCGCCAGGGAGGTTAATGATTAGGCAGTGTGGGGGGTTAAACAGTGAGGAAAAAAAGGTATAATCAATCAGTATTGTAGAGATTTACCAGCACAATGGCAAGTATCTTTGATGGATCATTGTATAGGAGAAAAAGGCCCATGTCCTTTCTTTATGCTTACACTGAAAAACAATCGGGAAAAGCCTACAAATGTTATACAATCATAAATGAGACATTGAGGGCTGGGAAATATCTGCCATTTTCTCATATTGAAGGTCCTGAAAATCCTCAAAAAGACTGTAAGGAGGCTGAATGAATCTCTAATGATGAAATACGGAGAAAGTGCTCTCAGATTCTGATCACTTGGATGGTAAATTCCATACTGCATGAGAAGCTTCAAGCCTGTTTTTTTTTTACGATTCAGCCTAGGATCTGGGGGTGGCTTTATACTTGGATCACAATCACCTCATCCTTTCCAAACTCAACTCCATCCCAGAACTGATGTACAGATCTGAGTAGATGTGCAACAACATCTGCTACTTACAGCTTTATTACTTCCCAGTCAAATCCATCATGAATGTTATTATGGAATTTATTTTAGGTTATTGCAAAGAAATACGGCTGGGATTGCCAATAGAATCTTTCCTTTCCTATCCTATCCTTTCCTTTCCTATCCTTCCTTTCCTATCCTTTTCCTTTCTTCCTTTTATCCTTTCTTTCCTATCCTTTCCTATCCTTTCCTCTTTCTTTCCTCCTTTCTCTGTTTTCCTTTCCTTTCCTCTTTCTTTTCTCCTTTCTCTGTTTTCCTTTCCTCTTTCTTTTCTCCTTTCTCTGTTTTCCTTTCCTCTTTCTTTTCTCCTCTTTCTGTTTTCCTTTCCTCTTTCTTTTTCTCCTTTCTCTGTTTTCCTTTCCTCTTTCTCTTCTCCTTTCTCTGTTTTCCTTTCCTCTTTCTTTTCTCCTTTCTCTGTTTTCCTTTCCTCTTTCTTTTCTCCTCTTTCTGTTTTCTTTTCCTTTCCTTTCCTTTCCTCTTTCTTTTCTCCTTTCTCTGTTTTCCTTCCATTTCCTCTTTCTTTTCTCCTTTCTCTGTTTTCTTTTCCTCTTTCTTTTCTCCTTTCTCTGTTTTCCTTTCCTCTTTCTTTTCTCCTTTCTCTGTTTTCTTTTCCTCTTTCTTTTCTCCTTTCTCTGTTTTCCTTCTCTTTCTTTTCTCCTCTTCTCTGTTTTCCTTTCCTCTTTCTTTTCTTTCTCTGTTTTCCCTTTCCTCTTTCTTTTCTCCTTTCTCTCCGTTTCCTTTTTCCTTTCCTCTTTCTCTTTTTCTCCTCTTTCTGTTTTCTTTTCCTTTCCTTTCCTTTCCTTTCCTCTTTCTTTTCTCCTTTCTCTGTTTTCCTTCCATTTCCTCTTTCTTTTCTCC